CCCCTTTCTCTTTTTTGTTTTGTGCTATTAGTTGTTTGCTTTGGTTTATGTTCTTTCTTTTTCTTTGGCTGTATTTCCTCATTTGAATAAAAATAATATTTTTTTTTTTAAAAAAAGGATTAGCTACTAAGGGCATGTTCTCATAGACTGAACTCAGCTGAAATGAACTGAACTGAAAATAAACGTATTAGAATAGACCCTAGTAATGAATGTATTGTTCTTTAAAAAAAAAAAAAAAAAAAAAAAAGGTAATGGATGTATAAATGTATTGTGGTGGTTGTCAAAGCTTGGCAATGAAATCTACGAATTAATAATTAATTTGTGACCTGGAATTTATACGGAAAATAAAGTATAATACCCTGCTTACTTCCAATAATTTGGCATGTAAGTTTTACTAAAATATAAGTTGAGCAGATCAAATGAGAACAAAGTCAGTGATGTTAAATGTCTTCTTTTAATTATTGATGCCTTATCTTATTCCCAAATTATTTTAAAAATATATATTGCATCAACAAGAAATGTTATTGGTACAAATATTAATCTTGTATTCATAAAACAACAAAAAATGATGTGTTATATTATTTACTCATAAATTAGATTTTATCTCAATTATATTGTCAACTCGATTATAATATCTACTGTATTATTCTTAATTAATTCAATTTGAAACTCTGTTCTGTTCATTTGATTTTTAATTTATTTTTGTGAGTGTTGCAACTTGCAAGTTATTACAATGTACTAGTGTATTACGAATTTTTTATCAGGCTGTTGTAGAATTCTAGTAGTACACCATATTTTTGTATAAGTAGATAATTATAATTTGAACACTCAATTACTTCATAATGAGAAACATAAAATTCAAGTTCATTTTTTTTCCATTAATCTTTACCACTTTTTCTGAAGTTACCAAAAGGTGTGAATGTCTGATGGCTTTAAAATTTGAGAGGATAAGCGTTGCTTACCTACTCAGTTAGGTTCCTACAGTCAACTCTCATTTTCTAATTATAGTCTCCTTTATACAACTAATATAGTACTTGTGTAAAAAGTTGATGCATGTGAAATGGAACTAACCAACCATATCATATACATAGTAATTCATTAGTTGCTTTTTACTGGATGCGCTTTGACTTTTACACTATTTATCACCATTCTTTTGATCGTCTTAAATAATATGTTTATATAAGGAAAAATATATTCATGTAGGATATTTTTGAATTCGTCTAAATAAGTATTATCATAATATCCACCTTTTATATATAATTTTTACTTATGAAAATTAAAGTTATAATTAGCTAAAGTTTTACATTAACAAACGTGATAAAAGAAACTATTCAAGTAAAAAAGAACAGAGAAAGTATATGCCTTTTATGTAATGTTGAGAACTAAGATAATTACAAGTATTTTTTATATGGCTGTCACTTTTGAATTGCGTTAGATTTTCGAAAATTATTAAATAGCATGGTTCGTCCAAAAAAAAAAAAAATTGTTACTCATAATATATTCTTTCCATAATGTAATAAGTCACTTTAAAACAAACTGATCACTAATTCACTATTTCTCAAAAATGTTATAAAGTACTCCGTAAATGATTTATACTTCAATTCGTATAAGTTTTGTTGGATTATAAGTAGAGTATCATGAACAGATTAACGAGATTAAGTTAAATTAGATTTGTGAGTTAGTATACGTAAATAACGTAATGCATGGCACTTAAAAGTCGGACGAGCAAGAGAAAGTAATTAAAAGGAGAGACATAGGTAACCTTATCTAGGAAATAGATCAAATAATATGTAGATATACATACTAAGCAACTCAATTGCGTGAACGTACGAAAAACTCATGTAACTATCTTTAGTATTACGTGATAAAATCATAAAAGGGTCTTTCTTGAGATATCTTTCTTTAATTTAAAGTTGTTATGTAATTGTTTCCAACCAAACTAATAATTCAAAATACATGCAATAAGGTCATGTATATATCATAAAAAAAAGCTAAAAAATTCATCACCAATCTTTGATAGGCTTTTGATGTATTATTGGTAGGAAAATAAAAGTTATACATGCATGCATGCATGGAAAGGTTTAGAAGATAAGAGACGCAAAAATCTTTTGATTTTGGGATGATAAACATGAGTTAAAGTGACTTCAATTTGAAAGAAAATTATTTAAGTAGATGCTTAATTAAGCCATCTTAATTATTAATGATATGAAAGTCAAAATAAATATGTTTTTGACTTCTTTTGTTGTTAATAGAAGTATGAGTTGTCTATGGAACGTACATTAATACTTGTTAAACTTGCTTTTAATGAAGTACGGGTTGTCAAATGAACATAACACTTGTTAAACTTCAAGTCGCATTTAAGTTTATAATACAGAATCTAACTTGACGTAACAACTAACAAGTCCTCATAAGCGTTTGCTAAATGATAAGGATAAATTTAGAAAGTTGATACTATGGGTATGTTTTCATTTACTGAACTAAGCTAAATTGTACTGAACTGAATATTTTATGAGAGAAGGAAATTGGAAACTGAACTGAATATTTTATGAGAAAAGGAAATTAGAAACTGAACTGAAAATAAGCTGAAGAAAACAAGCTCTAGGTAACCTTTTAAATTCCTAGTTTTTCTAATAAAAAAAAAATACAATTTTAGATAAATGAGGTAAATGGGAGAAATTTCTTGAAAATTTGGTCAATGTTTTCAGTTGACTTGGAAAATATCGGTAGGCACATCTAATCATCTAAATATGTTGTGACGGGAATAATGTATTTAAGAAGGACCTCGGGTATGTATGGTTTATTCAATGAGAAATAGAAAGCATTAAACGTGTGATAGATGAAATTTTTTAAAAATATATCAAGTAGTAAAATAAATTAAGGAATGACGAAACAAGATAATAAAAATTTGCTCCAAATGTTTAATGTCTATGTTTGGTACATCGTTTTTGTTATTTTCCCATCGAACGTATTCTGCCAAATAGAGTTAGATTGAGTTGTATAGCTCTTTTTGTATGAATGTCATTTACTCATTTGTATGAATGTCATTTGTATGACTATATAACGACCTTTTTGGATCCATTTCGATTTATTGAAAAAATAGTACTTTCTCTGTTTGAATAGACTTAGTCTTCGATCGATTAGGTCAAACTAAGCAAAACCAATAAAATTAAGATTATAATTTAATTGAAAAACATACAACGCAAATTCTTGTATGGTTAGTGTGACGGGAATAAGTTATACTGTACAAAATACAATAGAAGTTACTTCTTACAAATTAAATTAAAATGTTAATAATAAACTTTCTAGTAATCTTTAAAAAAGTTAAATAGTACAAAAATAATGCTCGAGAAACTAAGAAATGAAGATTAAAAATTTATCAGGCCGTCTAACAAAGGATAAAGAATCAACCCCTTAAAATCGAGATCTTATTGAAAAGCTTGATTAGCATCAAAGCATATGTGAATTAAATTTTTTCTTTATTTTTATTTTAGTGGTGCAAATAAGAGATTTAGATGGCTGTAATGACATTCCTTTGGAACTAATCTAGTAAGATCGACATGATAACATCAACCAACTAGTAATGCTTTAATGGCCATCTACGACAACTCATGTAGCACCTCAATTTTTCAAATATGCAACAAAAATGACCCACAATTGTCAATAAGACAGTAACATATACAAATATGCATAATGGTCATGCCTAATCATCACAAATTTTGACGTGGCTGGTCACACTACGTGGCCAATTATTATGAATTTATAGGCGTTACTTTGTTAGTGTTAATTATAAGGGTTATTTAGTCGGTGTTACTGAATTACTTCGTCAGTGTCATAGGAGATTACGGGGTTATTTGCTCAGTGTTAAGGGTTTACTCAATTAATATTACAGGAATGACTTGGTTAATATTATAGGGATTACTTTATCCCTTCAGTCCGGCTGACGTAACTAGTGGCACACAAATGTGCTGGGAGTAACTTTATTTGAGAAAATAAATTAATTATACACCTAATTTAGAGTCACAAAAACAAGGCCTACAACAGGAAGAATCCAGCTCTAAGTCCAATGAAGGTTAATAAGTTATTATGAACTTTGAGAGCGGCGCAAACGAATTAAATTGAAATCATGTTCAATAAGTAAGAAATGTACACTTCCCATTATTTTTAAATTTTTTATAATACCTTGACTAATACTCCCTCCGTTTCGTATTAATCGCATGGGTAAGGAGTGTACATAGGATTTAAGAAAATATAGAGTAGACTTGTAGGCTTTAATAAGAAAAAGAAAAAAAATGTACTCCCTCTAATTATTATTATGTGCAACAAAGGAGGTTGCACAAATGCCTAGTGTAAGTGAGGTTGGTAGAAGAGAGAATTACTAAAATATTTGTGAAAGTGGGTTAGAGCAAGTTTAGCCCCAAGTCTTAAGACTTGGAAAACATCATTTTTGGTGGTCCCTATTAAAAATGACGTCATCAAATTCTTGTTAAGACTCACTAAGACTTACACAAATTTATCACTTTAGCCCTAAGACTTTAAACATTTGACATATTATATGTAGAAAAGTGTAAAAAAAAAAAAGAGATAATAAAAATAAAATTGAGGTGGGTGAAGTGGGTCCCAATCTCAAGTCTTAAGTTGAGTCGTGAAATTTCAAGACTCAACTTGAGACTTGCTCGAGATTTTTGAAGAAAAATGGGAAAAGTCTTAAGCATAAGTCTTAAGACTCAAAATGAGGATGTCACCCTAAGTCTTAAGACTTGGGGCTAAACTTGCTCTTAGTAAGAGAGATAATAAATTGAATAATAGTGGATTTTTACCAAATAAGAAAAGTTTTGCAATTATTATAAAACGGGCAAAAAAGAAATGATAGGTAGATTATTGACAAATTCCTATTCCAGGTATTGCAGTTTTTAGCATTGCCATGTCTCTAATTGTCGAGCAATATATTACTTGTACGAACAAATACGAACTACTTAAATTAAATAGTTTTTCGCTGAATCTTACATAACGTAATTTGTGTATTAATATCTAAGATCAATCCTTAAAAATCAACAATATCAGGAGTACAAAAAACTTTGAGATCTAAAAGGGATTTTAATACAAGTCTACCTATCATTTACACTTCACAATGTCAATTCAGAAAGTCGTATGGGCAAAGACAAATGGCGATAAACCATGAAGACCTAGCGCGGTGCAAGAGATCTACATCTAACACACTGATCTGAAAAATACCACAGGAGCCTCGTTGAAGAAAAGCGTGGACAAACAAAGCTCAAAGACCATAAAACACAGTAGCAGAAGGTACATGCAGTGAAACAATCCTTTGTGACAAATACCATGCAAGCTTTCATGTAAATATTCACACCATTTCTGTCATTGATGGTTTTTGTCTCAAAACGAAGGTGTTTACAACAAGACATTCTGGCTACCTACCTGCAGGCAGCTTCAGACATGTCACCTTTTCGTCGTCTCATCAACTGAAGGAACATTTGAAGGGTAACTGGAAAGGTCTAGATCGATAAGAGTCATATCATACGGAACTGCTACAGAATTTGAAGTATCGACAAGAAGAGAAGTGTTCATCTTCTCTGGGTTTGAATTGTGGCCAATCACAGGATTCTCAGGACTGCTCACACCAGAGGATGACTGACTAGAAAGTTGAATATCATCCAGCTTGTTCCCAAACATGTGTTTATTTCTTCTGACAGCATCCATCTCCTGTCCGGTAGGTACAAAAGTACGTGATCTATACTTCCTTGGCCCTTCTTCACCCTCACCATGGTTATAAAGCACATACTCATGATAAGTTGGGGCAAACTGCAACATTGATTGAATACAGAAATCAGTTGCCACAGCATATGCAGAAATCACAAAAGAAAGCGACACCCCCCCTCTTACAGATAAATTTGATTTCAATCAATTTAAATCTTTGAATCCTCCAATACACGTAACCTCATTGTTTGAAAATATATAGGAGTTCTGGAACTACATCAATTGATCCAAGCAGGACTAAACTCGCTTAAAAGCTAAATTATAGACATTCATCAAGTATATCAAAATTAAGGAACTTAAAATTGACAACATCCATCAGCTTGCATCAAGATTAATCTAAAGGGGGGAAAAGGTTTCGCTAAGTACTTCAGCAAAACCTCAGCCCTCAGGATTCCTAGCAATGCTTGATTTTGCCATTTGTTACAAAATTCTTTAGGTTTGTCACAATTAGTCGCAAAAAACACAAAAATAACTCACCTGATGAACTGTATCATGATAAAAGTCATTCAATTTCACCGCATGTGCAAGGCTTCCTGTGAGACCAGGAGAGACGCCTATATTTGCACCAGCATACTCCTTGTAAGGGAATGCATAAAAGTGACCTATGGCAGCCATGAGCATCTCAACACAAATAATGAAATTTTGGACGTCAGCAGCATCCTCAGCATTTTTTATGAATTTAGACTTGGCAGCAAGAAAAACCAAGACACCCTGCAAAAGGCAACAGTACGTAGTGAGAAAATGAACAATCATACATACGAAGTATATCATAATTCCAAAAAATATTAGAATTTCATATATATATATATATATACACACACACACATTTATATACACGCACATTTACACACACACACACATAATTTATTTTTATTTTTTTTTAAAAAAGTCATTTGGTAAAGCTGTTTGGAGTATCGTGTAGTTAAAAAGGTGATGCTCCTTCGCATAGTAAAACTTAAGTCAAAACAATTTAAGAAACGGACAGACAACAGAGCATTTAGTGTATTTTATCAAATTATATCCTAGCTTTCTCCCATTTATCACACTTTTATACACCTCCATTTCCCAACAACGGTATATTAATCAAGTAGCAAAGTATAACAAAAGTATCACAACCAGCACAAATGTTGAGCCTACTTCAACCATGTATTGGACCAGCTAACTATGCCGACAAGAATGCAGGTTCAATTAACAAGCAAACCAGAGCATCACATGGAGCAATACACATGATTTCCTTTTAGCCTTTTTTAAGTCGTTGAATCCCAATCCTAATCAGCATGATCCTCAAAAACACCTTTGCAATCTATCATACAAATTTCAACAGATCCTGAGGGGAGGATCTACTTCTGTTGCATAAATCAAAGGCAGAAAATAGGTTAAATGGGCTGGATCCTCATACCTCCCCACCCCAACCCCCAACAAAAAAATGTTGGCAGTCTAGCTCCTCATTCCACCCTTGACCAAGAAGCAAACATTTATCAAAAAAATTAGGGAATATTTCTGAGCAATTATAAAACTGTACTATCAGAGAAATAGTAATACCTGCCAATATGTTAAGAAAACAACAGACTTTATCAAAACAAATTTGGGAACAGGATTGAAAGGCTGGAGCAGATCTCGGCATGCCACGTAAAACAAGACCAGAGCATAGAGAGCAACAGAATACGAGATAGTATAAATAATGGTGAAATAGAGGTAAGATTGATTTGCACTGAAATCTCCATCTGCATATTTTCCCTTTGAATAAAGAATAAATGTGACAGCAACCAAAATTGGTTTCAAAATAACAAACTGCAGGCACCCTTGCTTACACCTTCGTATGAAACGCCTGTACAAAAACAAGTCATCAACAACACGAAATAAATCCATTTCTATCAAAACTCACCATTACAGATTATATATAACTATAAAGCCACTATAGGCAGCAATAGTGCATCATTGGCTTAAACCAGCGAAACTCTAAATGATTACAAATAAATAAGCTGTATCTTTCCTTATCTCCAGCACTGGCAGCATATACGTTAATTACATATTGCAATTAATGATACATTACTATTGTTCTTGTTCCAAAAACAAACTATTGCAATGAATAAGGAATAAAAGAAGAAACTCCATCACATAATACGATTACTCACCCATCCAACGGTATCGGTGGAAAGCAACACGTCATCAAACACATTGAGGGCTTTAAAACTCGTCCACTCAAACTTAGCACAACGGCCCCAGGTCCACCAACCCACGCCAAGCAGAGGGATAAGAAATTGTATATAACCCATGCTTCATATCTGGAACAACAAACACAAAAAATTTAACTTACAATCAAACAAACACAAGCTTAAATATTTGCTGGATAGCATAAAAGAAAACAAAGTGAACCATGGCACAAGTGAAGTTAGAAGCATTTAGTAAAGAATAAAGAGACTAGAAACAACAAAGTCATGCTTTGACAATCCCTAAACCGACCTGAAATTACTGTGCAAAACCCAAACCCTGAATTGAACCCGAACAACCCAATTTGATCCAAGCATCAAATTTTGTAATAATATTAACTTTTACACGATAGTTTTTAAGCACACCCCAAAATTAACCCGAATTCAACCTGCTGACCCGAATTGCCGCCTACACACACTGGTCTGGAATCTAATACTGAATCCGTATTTGTAGACTCATCCTGTATCCAGCACAGGTCAGAGGTTCTAACTAAATCCCTTGGTACGTATTAATGAAGATTAAACTATACTGATCAGCTGAAGCCTAGAACCAAAAATTTGCAATTCCTGTCTACTGACATCTTCGTGTGATTGTTATACATATTAAGAAAATATAGTGCAACATGTCTTGATCATTTTTTACATTTCCTCTAAGTCTTTAAAGGAAGAAGCCACAAAACCCTATCTGTTCTAACGGCTACAAATTAATCTAATACAATGACATTCATTAGACTTCCATATCAACTCTAAAAATGTTACATGTAAAAGGTTTATACTTTAAATTTCATTTTGATCAAGCAAACCACTGGCGGAGCCAGCATGGGACAAGGGGGGACAGCTGTTCCCCCACTTTATAAAAAAATCAGAAAAATATTTTTTGCGCGCAATATTATCCAATGGCAAGTGACATGGAGCAATGGTTTAAGGCATGGTCGTAAAGCTTGTCATTCCCATTGAACGCGGGATCAAATCCCATTAACTGTCTTATCTTATGCTCGAATTCTTCAAAAAAAAAATATAATAATAATTATAAACAAATATTTTTGGACGAATTGGTATATGATGTTGGATTTTTAGACTTAGTACAGTATTTTGAAGTTTTTAAGTTGTAAAACTTTAACAATTTAACCATTAGTGTTCAAATATTGGTTTTTTCTAACATTTTTGTCAAACTGTACAATTGTCCATTTGTCCCCCCCCCCCCCCGATTGGAAATTTCTAGCTCCGCCACTGAAGCAAACAAAACCATAAAACAATTTAACAAGATCAAGGACATAAAACAGGTTATAGCAAAAGCAACAGAGTGAGAGCAGCACTAAGAGCCCAAAAGTGAAAGATGGTATCCTCCATACTTACATTTCTCTTAGAGAATTAAAATATATGGCTCTATCACGCATGATCAAGGCCAAGAAAGACATTAATGCGTAAACCTGTGCACAAAAGTAACACAGTGATGTTAGGCTTGTACAATATTAGTATAACGAGGTAAAAAAGGAGCAGAGAACATGGAAGTATGCATGATTAATCCAGTATTAATGCTAAGCTGAAAGGCTGGGGTTTGGGGAGAGAAGAAAGAGGGGGGGGGGGGGGTCAACTTGTAACTAATAAAACGAAAGTTCATTAGTCCACAAGGTTAACTATCCTTGGAAAAGACACATGCACATGGAAAACAGACAATACATCAACAAAAGCAAATAGCTTCAACAGGTGTTGGTTGACCTTGGGCCATTAAACTTTAAGGAGTAAAACCAACTAAAAGCAAAAAACATGGAAATGACACCACTTATGAGGGAATTCATTAGAAAATATGGTAAATTATAATCATGACAACATATGACCTGACCTATAAGAAAAATTAGAACATTCAGAAACTACTCGCAATCCAACAATTCTATAGCCTAGTCAAATTTCGAATGTAGACTATACATAAATACATCAATCTTCTTGTGAAATTAATTCTAAGACCCAAATATCAAACCTTTAATGCATTCACTGTGGCCAAGCTCATGAATACAAAAGACACAAGGCGAACTAATGATACTAAAGAACATACCAATTACCTTAAGTCCCCACATGCAAGACCAAATGAGATATAAGTAAACGATAAGATTCCCTATGCCTATCCAGTTATCCTATCTCCAATCCAAAAGGTTGCAACATTCATTATAAACTATAATCAAAGCATTGTCATCAATACAAACTTCCCCCAGTTCCTCCCAAAGCCACCAAACATCACAGTGCTCCAAATAAATGCCCAGACAAATCCTCTAAACTTTTCACTTCAATCAATAGGTCCCACAACTGGGATCCCACATTGACAGAACAGATGACTCCATGTTACCAAGCACACAAAGTAAGCACGCAAAGTGTAACTCCTTTGTGAGAAGCATAATTAAGGGAATCAAAGAAAGTCCAACCAGCCACATATTGTGTAATCCGTTTTAAGAGTAGTAAAGTTTGCACTAGGTTATGTTAAGCATGACAAGCAGTTTGGATAAAAGGACAAGAATTAGTCAGCAGAAAGAACCACACTGTAATGTCAAATTGACCACCTCAAACATTAAACAAAAGTATTAGTTATTACATCAACTATATAATGAACTTTCTTTAGCCACTACATCTCAGGAGCAAAGATTCACTCACAAATCCTTCCCAATTTATGTGATTGATGAACAAACTTCTAAACTCTGCATGTAACCTATCAATCTATGTGTATAATATGTTCCAAACTCTAGAGAATCTTACTACTTTACAGACATGCAGAGCATTTGTAAAAGGGTTTACAAAAAAAGCGTACATTAAAACATGGCATGCCGGAGGACAAGCTACATTTTCGATAGTGAATAACATTACCTGATGAAAAACAGAATCCCTACAAACTCCAATGTAACAAAGAGCTTACGTCCCGTTTGGTACCGGTGTACCGGTTATAGATAGAGATAATGGGAATGAATTTAAGTAATATTTGGCAAGCGAAATAGCATGTCAAAAGTAATGCAGTTTTATCCCCAAACTTGTGTATCCTTCATACAAGTCCTTTACTACCCATTACCACAATACCACCCCAAAAGGTAGTAGATGGCAATAGAAATTAGGGGTAAAATAGCATGACAATAGTTGGACATTGAATTTTCATACAAATCTAAGCACAAAGTCTCATTACCACCATTTACTAACACTTACCAAACAGAATGTAAGTATCTGAAGTTGCAATCACTATAATAAACATTGATACAATAAATGTAGCCAAATACACTAATCAGACAAACTTCCAAAGAAAACCATAATAAGCGTAACTTCAGTAGTTAACATTGCTACGACACTACCACGACGTCACCAATCACAAGACAAAGCTGAACAAAGAATAAAACAGAATTGTTGACACTTACCGGAACCATGAAGATGATACGAACTATATATCTTTGAAAGGTAGGTTCAGTGTAATTTGTAAGATGCCGGTATATGTGAAAGATCGCGAGAGCAATCGCTCCGATTGTGCACGGCAATGCAACAATCAGATAGTATATTAGAACCATTTTTCTCTTCTTTAGCAACAATTTACACCAACTGAAAAGATTCAGTTACCAAAAAATATCAATATTGACACCTGACTTCCAATAATTAGTCTAAACAAGCCAATAATGCAAAATAATTCAAAGATAATATAATAAAATACATACAAAATCCTCAAATAATTCTACTCAATACTCCCGCACTTCGCATTGCTGTGCTAGTTCCTAAATCTGAAACAACACAATCAATTCAAAATCAAGCGTCGGTACTAAACCCTAGAATTTCTGATCATAAAACTGGAAAACGAAATCAAATTACAAGCATAATCAGATTAGGGCAAAACAAATGAAATCATCACAAATTTAAACAAACACTGAGATACCGAATTCAATACTTGATCGAGGAAACAAAAAATTAAAAAAAAATACAAAATTCGCAATTAAATTCAAAAAATTAGCCAAAATTCACCGAAATTTAAGCGATAATATCTACGAAAAAAACTGCAATTACGAAAGTCATAATTAACGACGGTTACCTAAAATGGAGGAGAGAGAAATAGTAGATCTCGAAGAAAAGGAGTAAGAAGAAGCAAAGAGCACAAAAATGGCGGCTTCTGAATAACAATGGAGGAAATGGAGAGAGATGAAGGAAGAGAAGAGTTAGCGTTAGAGAAAGGAATGATTTTGCCAACATTATAGGCTATACTTTCTTGTAGGGTGATTAATTAATTTGCAAGAAATATTGAGATTGTAGAAAGGCAATTTGGGAGTTAAAGTGTTTTTTTTTTTTTTTTTTTTTTTTTAAAAAAAAAAAAAAGAAATTTATTTTTTGTTGTTGTTGTTGTTTAGAGCGTCGTAAAGACGGGTTGAAAATCGATCTTAGGATTTCCTGAAACCGGGAGAGAAGCTCGAACCACTTGAGTTACCCCTCACTCTCAATTTGAGAGTTAAAGTTAAATAAAAAATGGATTACTCGAGATGTGGTGTTATTGGTACAAATGTGATTGCAGGTGTGTTTTGGCTAACATTTGTGATAAATTTGTTGTTGTGGTTAGCGGAATTGTTAATAAAATTTGGTTGGTATGTGCAATTGAAAATAACCGATTATAAGATGCGGGTAAAAATAAAATCTTTTATTATGTTGTGTTTTTGTTTGGGGTCGCCAATAATTTTGGCTTATGGCATTGCCAACTTCAATTAAGTGAAATTTGGTGATCAATCTTGGTAAGTTAGGTATGAAATTATTGAAAGAAAAAACAAAAATTGGAGATGAATACAAAAAAAATTTAAAGTATTGTAATGTTGAGAATTGGTTTTTATTAAATGCTTGCACCTCCAATCCCCTGTGCTCCAATCCAACCTGTGAATAATCTAATTTGCATGCCTAATTGCTATTATTGTTAATTTTAACTAGCCTTCTGTCCCGTGCAATGCACGGATTGTTTATAGGTATATAATATAATTTTTAATTTTATAATATGTTTTTTTATTGGAAAATGAATAGTTTATAAAAGATAAAAAGGGGTAAAAATTGAATGTAATTGTTATTGATATTAAGTTGGGGGAAAGTGAACCAAATATTCATTCATGTATTGAATTAAAGCTAGTGTATTTTTTTTTTAATTTGAGAAAGGTTAAATGAGATGATATGTGACATTGGTGAAAAATATAATTTACATGTGGCATGATGCGGATAATGGTTTGTGTTTTTAAATACTAATAACTAAGTATAGGTATAGATATCCCTACCTTATAAAAAGTGGAAAAATACTGTTATGAATAGTGTTAGGACATATATGCCCCTTAAAATGTTATTTTACTTATCTACCCCCATTAGTGTTAATTACTTACTCTTGTCTCTGTTCGTTTTCTGTGATTTCCTCTTACTTCCACCTTCGTAATGGTGCTTGCTTCTGATGTCTTCTAGAGTTTTGATGAAAACAAGATAGGTCAAAGACTTTCCTAATTCCATCTCATTAATTATCTTCCTCTGAACTATTTTGGGACAAGTTGCTTAGGCTAGACGTCAAGAAGGTCTAATAAACAAAATTATTTTGTTGGAAATTGACGGGTCGAACATCCTTATTTCATTAAGGTTCATATATCCTCTAATCCTCTCCCAAGGGTCTCTATTTAAGAGGTATTGCTGCTAGATTTGGTATTGAAAGTTAATGATATTGAAAATCTGATTAAGAGGCTTAATAATCTGAGAGTGAGAGTCATGGCTTCAATGTATTGAAATTTGAAAGGTAGTCACACATTATCACTTTTGCACTTCATGTTGATTGTCTGGAAATCTTACAAAAAAAGTGGATGTTTAGTATTGGTTTATCTAAAACCAATGTCTTTGTGACTTTTATTTGTAGAATCATGTGTTTTAAAGCTTAGATGATTTATTAATTCATTAGTCTAACTATGGTATTTGCCAACACAATTGTATAAAGAACTAATTTAATATAAGATGCTCATAAATAATGTTAAATAGAATATTCTCCCTCATGTGTTCTAATTATTCTGAAACTTAGACGAGGTTAATGACACTATCGACTTTAGACCAATTCTCAAATGAATCGAGACCACTATGATAACCTGATAAGTGCACATTCTTTATATTTTTGGGTTTTAATTATTCTAGGATTTGCTAACCTTTATAAATATTATTATCAAAGCAACATTTTAGTTTTACATTAATTTTAACTTTGGTCCTTGTTGTGCATAACTAAATTTGATGGAAATTGTTTATTCTGTAGGATTATAGTGATTAAAGAAACTGCTCACTGAATTGTAGGAATATTGAAGTCAATGAGTGAGAATCTTATTCTGCCTATAATCCCTCTGAAGTATGGTCGTACATGATCTCACTCTTCTAGAAGGTTCAAATTCACTAGCAACTGGCTTCCTGACAGAAACTACTACAGTTTTCTTACTATCGAATCCAACAGCTTAGTGGCCGATGCTGATTATGTTGGATCTAAGCTTGGGATGAGAAACCAAAAGTCATTTTATTAGGCCATTTGGAAGCAACATATTTCATTTATAACCCATTTGTTTTATTTGTTTACAATGAAAAAATTTGTTACTTCGATTCATTTACAAGTGTGAAACGATACTTTTGGTTTATGAGCTTTACTCTTATACATAGTATAATTTACCACAAAGAAAGAACATGTGATCAATGTTTCATATTATACATGCACACTATGTGATGGTTTTTTTTTGTTTTTTTTGTTTTTTTTATGTGATGTTCTTACTACACTACTATATGTAAATTGTAGCATATAAGTTATCATGCATTTTGATCTATTGAGGCGAGACATTTTATAGATGCTTTGTTGTTTCTCATACTCTAGCAGGCGAACATCAAACCTGTTATATTTTCTAAAGGTTCACTACACTTAAGTTTAATAATTTAAAAGTACTTAAGATTTCATATATCATTTCATATATGTTCGTAACTATGTAAAATGTACAAGACTACAAACTACTAAAACGATTTATACATGCAACTAAATCAACCGCATACCAAAGGTGTAAAGACAAGCCGATATAACTTTTAGACATTGGCTAGCCATACCGCGCGCATCGCGCGCGTTGGCTCCCCTAGTAGAAGGTAAAATGAGATGACATGTGACATTGGTGAAAAATATAATTTACATGTGGCATGATGAGGATGATCGTTTGTGTTTTTAAATACAAAGTATAGAAGTATAGATATAGATGTTGAATTGTATTTCTATTGTTTCTTTTCAATCCTGAACAATTTTTTTTAAAAAAAATATTATTAATTTATGTTATCATAATCTATCTATTAACTTATACTAAAAGCGAATAACAAATGACACTTGTCATTAACTTGTGAAAAAATTTCCCTCCTTTTTTTTTAATGTTTTATTTTGTAAACTCAATAAATAAACTATTTACACATTATAAGATTTTCTTTCCAATTTGACACATAATCCATATATACCCAAATGAAATATTTCTGCATATCTTATATATATTTTATATGTGTAGTATTATTGTAAAAAATATTTAACAACCGTGTATAGCACGGGATTTTAACCTAGTACTTACATCTATATTTAAGAGTTTATAAATCATTTAAACTGATATTTAATATTTTATGTTTTAGTATAAATATAATTGTAATTCCTTATTGTAATTGTATCAAATTTTGTTAGAGTGATCAATGTACTTTATAAATAATACAATGTAGCAACTACCAAATTTACTTGAGGGGCCTTTCATTATGAAGTTTCTACTAATCCAAGTATTCAACTTTATATATCTAAGTAGATTTTTATATATCTAAGTAGAATAATATCCATTCAATGTTTTTTTATTTTTTTTTTAACTTAGGAAAATGTAGAAATTTTTCATGGGGGAGTTGGGGGGTAGAAGCAAAAAACAATTTAGAATTTCAAAATTAATATGTATATATTTAATGTGTTGGGTGAAGATAGTATAGATAGTTCCTTGAAACAAATTCCTTCTTTGAAGTTAACTTAATAGAGTTTAAGTGAGAAGAAGGGTGTACTTATATCTACCCAAGTATTCGTTACTTATTCTATTATTAAAGAGTATAGGTTTCTCAAATTTTCCCATGTCTCATTAGAAAAGTAAATACGAAGTGCACGAAAATAAGCATTTGGGTGGTTATTAATCAGTAAAATTGCAATATCAATATAATTACCCTACACCTATGATAAATTTGTCACCAAGCTCATTCAAATAACCCATGGTTTTAATTTGATTCTATTCCTTGAGATTTAGCCCCTTGCAAATCAATTTGGTTTAGGTGGGTAAATTTATTTTTCAACTTGAATCTTTTGTGAAAGATTATTGAGTTAGTTTTTATTTATTTATTTATTTCTGTCCAAAAACTAAATTGAACATTAGAATTTAAAGTAGCAACATGTTAACTTTGATATAGACATTTAACATCTTAATTAGGTGTTATACTTGCTATCACAAATGTAAAACTTACCACCAATGAATTATTCATGTTTTAATTTGATTTGATTTTTTATTAAAGAAAATGCATTTTGAAATTGGTTGTTATGTACATGTATCATTATACTGCTTGATACATCAAAATGACTATGTGCATGTTTGAAGTTGAGCATGGAGTAGGTCTACATAAGGACATTGACACATAAATGACTTGACTGTATAAGAGACACGCTTTGTAGGCAAGGGTCATGCATGAATGCCATTTTCAATACACTACGGTCTGACCAACATTAGGCTTTTTTTATTTTTTTTTACTAAATAACAACTATAAATGCATCAGTAAGGGGGTTACATACATGGTATGACCGAACATGAAGGTCGGGTCATGCATAGGCCTGGTTCATAAAAAATCAACATGAATTCTACCTAACACAACTTTTTCTTGTCTCATTCCAAGCAACATTCGCTTGAGCACGAGACACGCTGACACAACACATGAGTCTGTACGACTCGATCCATGCCCAACTCTATACATATTCCGTATTATTTTTGGTAACTCTACCATTCTAGTACTCCTCCACCCCGTATTTCACACTCGATAAAGTAGATATTTTAGGTAAAAACATCCCAAAATTTTGTTTGCACTTGGTACAAAAATCTCAACTTGTGTATTGTAATTGTATGCAAGTGTAAAACCCAAAACCCACCGATGTGGAGTTATGCAAAACCATACATTCATACATTATAAAGCCACTACTTTGCCTTATCACTCCAAACCCCTCTTTTCTCTTTCTCTTCTCTTCCCACCCTATCTTCTTCTTCTCTCTTCCTCCCTCCATTTCTCTCCTCTTCTCCTGCAACTTCAGCAGGAAGAAGAAGAAGAAGAACACACCCATTTTCACCCATTAACCCAAAGCTTCAATCTTTATCAACAATGGCTTCTGCTTCAATTGTTGGGGTTTCTTCAGTACTTTACCAAACCCCTTCTTCTGTTCAAACCACCACTAAGTTTTGTATTTCTCCTGCACTTTCTCTCCCGTTTTCCGCTTCGAAACCGAGGAATTTGAGGTGGGTGTCTGCTGCAATTGCTACTCCTAACTCCGTGTTGAGTGAGGAGGCTTTTAAAGGAATTGCTGGGGATTTTTCTAAGGGTTCTTTTGAAGAGGAGTTTGATGAAGGGAGTGAATTAGAGTTTGAGAGTGAAGGTGAGAGTGAAATTGAAGGTTCTGAAATTAGTGCGGATGAACTTGATGTTTCGAAATTGGGGCTTCCTCAAAGACTTGTTGATTCTCTTGCCAAACGAGGCATTACCCAACTCTTCCCAATTCAGGTTTATTATTTTTTCTATCCCTTTTTTTTTGTTTTAAATTTTAATTTATAATGTGAATTGTTTGAGAATTTTGAATAATTTTATGTGGGTAATTAAGCTATTTTATGCATATTTGTTGCTTGTAATGAAATTTAACTAGCTTTGTGTTACTCAGTTTACGGTGTATAGTAGGCTGAGTGTAGGAGGGTTGTTGTATAGGTAGTTGCAAAGGGTAGTGATGTATACGTGATTTGATATTAGGTCTCGAGAGTTGTCGTCCAAGACTTTAACCTACTTAGCTGAATATCGTAGAGTAGGCTATTTTTGAGAGTTGGTTTTATAGGTTATAGGCTGTGTTTGTGCTCATTCCATTGTTGGTTGAATTGGGTTTTATATTCTGCAATATATATAAGTGAGGAAAGGGAACTGTAATTTGTAGAGGTCCTTACATATGAAAGGAGTGGAGCAAATTGGTGCTTTGGTAAAATACTAATGAATGTGTAAAGTATATAGTATCATCAGGTAGGAAGAACAGGTTAGAAAATAAGAACAATACTTTGGACCAACTATCAGGTTGGAAGTATATTTTCATTAATGCCTATGGAAATTTGAGCTCTTAATTGAGTGGAACTTTCATATATTTTAACTACAAGTATATAGTAAAGGATTTACTAAGAAAAATTTAAACTCAGATGAGGTATAGTTTTTTTTTTTTTGTTTGTCAAATTTGTTACATGTGGTAGTGCTTACTACTTAATACTTGACAGTGTATTAGATAGAGTGCATCTCAGGTAGTGCATAGTATTAAAAAGGGTTAATATGCATTAGTCAGTAAACTATCTTGTGGTGGCTCTTAATGCTGTGCTTCAGGTAATTCAATCTCATATTCGGTGTGGAAGTGGGAAGCTTAGTCTTGACCAGTAAATCATTTACTACACACTATCTAAGTTAATGGTTTTGTACCTAATGAGACGTTTCTAATCCCGAAGTTACTTGTCATGTAGTCTTCATACTTTCTTATAATATACAATTATTAGTATAAATTAGTAACTTCTGACAAGAATAGGAATTTGTGGTTCGCTACATCTCTTAAAATTTCAATTATCTGCTAGTGCCCTTTGTAACATTTATTTGGTATATTATTTGTTTTTTAAATATATTTGCTTATTTTTAGCGAGCTGTGCTGATTCCTGCTCTGGAAGGCAAAGATATCATCGCTCGAGCAAAGACTGGGACAGGAAAGACTTTGGCTTTTGGTATTCCAATACTCAAACGGATTACTGAAGAGGATGACGAAAGAGGTTCTCAAAGGTAATTATCATATAAATGACTCATCTACTTAAACATATTAATGAATTGAGATCACTGAATTTTTTATTTTTTTGGGAATCTAGGCGTGGACGACTTCCAAGAGTTTTAGTTCTAGCTCCAACCAGAGAGTTGGCAAGGCAAGTTGAGAAGGAAATGAAAGAATCTGCACCTTACTTGAACACTGTTTGTGTTTATGGAGGTGTGTCTTATAGTGCACAGCAGAATTCTCTTTCCCGTGGAGTTGATGTGGTGGTGGGAACTCCGGGTAGAATTATTGACTTGGTCTCCAGTAACAGCCTCAGACTGGGGGAAGTTGAATTTTTGGTTCTTGATGAAGCTGACCAAATGCTCGCTGTTGGGTTTGAGGAAGATGTGGAGGTTATATTGGAAAAACTTCCAGCTCAAAGGCAAAGCATGCTTTTCTCGGCAACTATGCCTACCTGGGTGAAAAAATTGTCCAGGAAATATTTGAACAGTCCTCTGACAATTGATTTGGTAATTTCCTTTTTCATCTTTACCTTGAAGCTACCCTGTTGTTATCTTTGCGTAATTGAAATATTGAATGCATCTCTATGTTATGTGTTGACATCTTGTCTGGCTCTTTGTATTATGCAGTCTGCCTTTTGCTCCAATTGTAATTGACTACAAATATCAGTTGTGGCATTGTGCACTTAGTTATTGACAGCAAGAGATTTTTTCAATATAATGAAGTCTGTAGAAGTTAGTTTGTGTGAACTTTACTTGTGTTTTTGCAGATGTTTTGCATAATAATAATGTTGGAGAGATATCTATCGTGATAAATTTTAGGAATTTTATTCTTGCTTTGATCTTGTACGTGGGCAATAGAGATTCATAGGATGAAATATTTTACCTTTGAGAGATTAATCTCATGAATTTTAATCTTCATTTTTGTAAATCCAACTTTGAGCATCATAGCAAATATATTATGTGTCACATATGTTTCATCTATGGGTATAGGTGTCATGGATATGGTTTAAGGGTTGAAAGAGTAGTTACATTATACTGATTGTTAAAGGAGTGGGGCGTTACTGCCATGCACTTTCCTCCTCCCTTGCTCTCACACCCAAACAAAAAGTAAAAGAAACATTAATTGTTTGGTCCAGGTGCTACTCTGGAAATCTATGTTTTGTTGAGTTAAAAAAAGCCAAGCCTTTAGCCATAAGTACACATAACCCATGCAATAAGTTCTGAATTATAAACTAGCATCTCTTTCTTATTTTAATATGAAGTTAAATTATGTCATTAATTTGTCACTGAAAATTGAAATAAGACCATTGCATGTTTTTGAGCGAAGAGTTCATTTGGCTTATACCTTTTGTATATTATACATTTGTGGGTATGTTGATGCTTTCTAGTTGAGATAAATCCTGACTTGGTCTTTATGTTTTGGATAAACTTTTCTTTAGGTTGGTGAGCAGGATGAGAAGTTAGCTGAAGGGATTAAAATGTATGCAATTTCAACTACTGCAACTTCGAAGCGTACTATCCTTAGCGATGTTATCATGGTAAGATTCAAGGCGGAACTTGTTCATTTGGTCTTAGTCAGTTGGTTTCTATAGTCCCTTCTGTAAATTTTAGCTCTCTTATATCATGTGCTGATATCAATTTATTTCCCACGGTGACACATTATTCATTTTGCAATTTTACTCTAAAGTACTGATCATATAACTGGTGAAGTCATGGTTTACTTGCTTCAGTTATGTGGTAGTATTTGTGTGCCCATGGGAACATGTGTTTTTGCATCTCTGTAAAGATGTAGGCTCTGGGTACATTTTGGTAAATTTGACGTCATAAAAGCCCTAATTCTATTGCGGGTCAACTTTCATGGTATATTCCATGAAGGTTCCAAATGTTCGCATTTGCTTGTGCAATATACGTGATTTCATGTTCATGGTATAATCTATGAAAAGTTTATGTAGCTGTGGTCTGGGATCGTTTCAGATCTATAGGCTCTCAGTTTCCAGTTTTTGGCATTTTATATTATATTTTACAACTTATATATATATGTTTTTTTTTTGTCATGTGCCTTGCAGGTGTATGCAAAGGGTGGTAAGACCATTGTGTTCACACAGACCAAACGAGATGCTGATGAAGTATCTTTGGCACTGTCAAGTATTATTTCTTCAGAAGCATTGCATGGAGATATATCTCAGCACCAACGTGAGAGGACATTGAATGGCTTTCGACAAGGAAAATTCGCTGTGCTAGTAGCGACAGACGTTGCTGCACGTGGTCTTGATATACCGAATGTTGACCTGGTTAGTTCAATGTTGATTTTTTTTTTCTTTTTTGTTAAAAATTTTGATTAGGAGTTTTTCTGTACTAGTTTTTTTATATCCTTTTGCAATTAAGCGTAGGTACACTGCTTTCTATACATTTTTTGACATTTTGCCTTGAGCAATTTGCCTGGGTTTGCGTTTAGGCAACTAGACAGTTCGAAGATTCCTACTTTTTTATATAATTTTTTGGGAATGCTCACGTGAATATGCTGTACCTTTTATAACCTTCTGGATCTCTTTAACCAATGTACCTCTCATGTTTTCTTCTCTCCATTTTTTTTCTCAATGATAATTATTGGCTACTTTCCTCCTGTAGGTTATTCATTATGAACTGCCGAATGATTCTGAGACTTTTGTGCATCGTTCTGGTCGTACTGGGAGAGCAGGGAAGTTAGGCACAGCCATTTTAATGTACACTAGCAACCAGAGAAGAACAGTTCGATCTATTGAAAGGGATGTAGGGTGTAAGTTTGAGTATATAACCCCACCTTCAGTTGATGAGATCTTGGCATCGTCTGTTGATCAGGTTGTAGCCACTCTGGGTGGGGTTCATTCCGAGTGCATTGAATTCTTTACTCCCACTGCCCAGAAATTGCTTGACGAGCAAGGAACTGTAGCTCTGGCAGCTGCATTAGCTCATATGAGCGGATTTGCCCAACCTCCGTCATCAAAATCTCTTCTTAGTCATGAGCAGGTAATTGATAAACTTTGATTTGAACTAGATACGTTAATCAAAGTATGAAAAGTACAAACTTTGGCTTTCTTATGTTTAGAAAGTTAACCGCACAAATTTCAGCAAGCATGCTTGTATTTACTACCTTTGTTCTTTTGAAGGCAATTGGGTGTAAAACTGTAAAATAAAGTAGGATTATATAAAAGTGTGTAAAATTGTGGGTGAGGGTGAATAAAGTATGAGATAGTGTGTGTAAAGGTGCAATTATAGTGGGTTAAGATTGTATGATTGAATCAAATAAAGTAAAGTGGGAAGACATAAAAGAACAGACGATTTTGAAAAGTGGGTTCAACAAAAAAGATTCGAGAAAGTACAAAGTATAAATGTGAAATCAAATTTAAGAACCAAATTTTTCATTCAACATTGAATTTTCTGTTTCAGGGGTGGATAACATTGCAATTGACGCGTGATCCCAGTGTTGCAAGAGGATTCATGTCTGCTAGATCTGTTATGGGATTTCTATCTGATGTTTATCCAGCTGCTGCGGATGAAATCGGAAAAATACAGTTAATTGCTGATGAGAGTGTGAGTAATACACAATATTCATTTCTTTGTAGGAATGTCCGGATAGATTTTTTAGTTGATATTGGTGTTTGTTTGTCTTTCAGGCTCAAGGCGCTGTTTTTGATCTGCCTGAGGAAATTGCAAAGCAGCTATTGAGTCAAGAATTACCTCCTGGAAATTCACTATCCAAGATTACCAAGGTTATAAAGATTTTCTAACATACTTATTGTTTACCTTTAAAAGTTCCTGATAGTTAAATCAAAGGCAACCATGTTGGAATACAAAACCGTGTCTTTATTCTGAAGAATGATGTTTTATTCTTATCATACTTGCTGTAATTTACAGTTGCCTGCACTGCAAGATGATGGGCCTCCAAGTGACAACTACGGAAGATTTGGCAGAGATCGAGGTGGCCGTGGAGGTATGGGTGGAAGAGGATCACGAAGTCCCCGTGGTTGGGGTAAGAGTCAAGACTTCGATTTTGGTGACAATGACAACAGTTCATTTAGGCGTGGTGGTCGAAGCTCTTCCAGATCTAGCAACAACAGGTGGTCTTCAAATTCAAGAAGCGGTGGAGATGATTCTAGCAGCAGGTGGTCCTCAAACTCAAGAAGCAGTGGGGATGATTGGCTGATTGGTGGTGGCGCTAGACGATCAAACAGGTCATCACCATCATCATTTGGAAGCAGGGACAGGTATATCTTACTTCTGTAATTTTGGGATATGAATAGTTTTGGGGTCTAGTTTGTTTCATTTAATTTTCTTTTTAAGTCAAGATGGCTCCTGTTTTTGCACTATATGCACAATATTTGTGAAACATGAATGCCCGTGCAAAGCCAATGCGATACTAGAGCTAAGAAAGCAGAGCCTGTTTGGTATCCTCCGAAAAGTCCAAATTACATTGTTTCAGTTCTAAGTTCCAACAAGGATATTTTTGAAAGACAATAGTTGAACTTGGAAGCCCTTGGCCATATTTCTAGTGTTGAAAGAATAAAATCCTGCTTGCTATGAAGTAAACATAAATTCTGTAAAATGGAAGATTGGAAAGTAGTACTGTTGTTCTATATGTGAAAATGAAGATCAAAGATTTTAAATTTCTGCGAAAAAATTTCATTGCAACATCTGTCATTTCTGCTGATTGTACACATGTTAGTTGTTAGTTGTGTGGCCTTGTGCCTCTTTCGGTACTATGCTATTGATCTCCACTTATGTCGCCTTCCTTGGTGTTTTACCTTGACGCATTGATTTGTTCGCCTTTTTACAGGTTTGGTGGTGCGTGCTTCAATTGTGGGAAAAGTGGACACAAGGCATCAGATTGCCCCACCAAGCAATCATACTAGAAACTTTGTTTCCTAACCTTTCAAGTTTCCAAGGTTTTGACGGTCTGGGGATAGATGCCTCTCACGCCTCTTACTTTTGTTCATCTACCAGATTCCGGCCAAGTATAGTCTCTTCAAAGTTATGATCCGTTCAAGAGATGCTGTTTCAAGTGGTTTCTTGGTTTTGAAATCCGGCCTGGATCATTCGGAGCTCCACTGATGTATCATCAGTTCTTCACTGCAACAACATAGTTCACACAGGAGTTTTTACATTTTCTAATTAGTAAAAATTATTAGTAATTATATCAAGGTCCTCATATTCGTATTTACTGTTTTCTAGCGTCTCCACGCCATAGCTTTTGTTGTAAAGTCATTGGAGTATATCCGTGCAGGAAATTCATGGTGTATATAGTGTAGTCAGATACAGTGGAAAGCTCGCCGTGGCCATTTATGGCTGTTTGTGACTTTTTTGTTGGGAAGTTTAGCAAATTATGGGTTGTATCTTGTATGAAAATGACATTAGTTTCTTGTTTTCTTATTTTGATAGCTGTTTTTGAATCTTATTTTCGTCAATAGTTTGTAGTAGCTATAAAACTTATTTCTGCAAATTGCAAACTGAGCTAGGCTGAGACTAATTATTATTGATATCGCCATAGGCTGTATATGTTGCAAATTTGTCTCCTTACAATTGATATAGGACTTTTGATATATTTTTCCAAATTTTACAACATACAACTATCCAAGTATCATATACGATTAATTTTTATGTACTCCCTCCGTTTTTAAATATTTGCTCCATTTCTCTATGTGCGGAGTTTTAGGAGAAATTGGATATAGTAATAAAATATGGAGGTAGTGGGGTAATTGAGAAAATAAAAAATTATAAAAAGCAAAAGTAGTGGAAGAATAGGAGGAGAGAGATTATTATGTTGGGTCCACTAAGTGTGAGAAATGATTAAATATTGTAAAAGCTTTCCATAAAAAGAAATGGAGCAAGTATATAAAAACGGACGGAAAGGAAAAGTGGAGCAAGTATTTAAAAACGGTGGGAGTATTTATTTAATTATAAATTGAATAGCAGAAAGGGAATGAAAAAATAAATAAAATTGCAGTGAACGTTTATTCACTGACTACTACTTTTAACAATGTGTAAAAATATTGTCATTTCTTTTAGCATTTTGCTTTAATGTTTTTAAGGATCTTACTAACAAATGCCCCTTAATGTTGGATAAGCATTAAATGCTTTCTAAAGTGGTACGGAGTATTAATTTGGGTAGGCTTGACAAAATTACGCAATAATCGTTGTAACTAGGGCTCATTTTAATTAAATACTCCCTCCATTTTTTTTATATGCATCACTTGAGAATGCACAAAGTTTTAGGAGATAAATATAATATTGTGAGTGGGTGAATAAATTATTATAATAAAAGTATGATGTGGACCATGAAAGAGAAAATATGTGAGAGAGAATAGATATTTTATTATTTAAGTGGGGACATAGAAGAGGGAGAAATGATAAAATAATTTGAGTGAGATTTAAAGTAAGAGAGAGAAATAATAAAATATAGTATAACTTTACCAAATATAAAAGTGATGCATATAAAAAAAAAAACACCCATAAAAGGAAAGTGATGCATATAAAAAAAAACAGAGGGAGTATCTTTACTTTTAATTATCTTATCCAACGTCTCGGGACATCCATTAGCTTTTGCCTTTTTTTTAATTACAAGGTTGGCTATTGAATCATTTGAATGGCGAGTTCTTTTGCTCCCTCTCCTCTATCAACATACTAATATGCTGATACAACTGCATAAAAATATACAACTCTACTCATCAAATACCCTCAAATCCTCTCTTCAATGGAGGTCACCGGAGAATCACCCACCCAAGTTCAAACCTTGTCACAATCCAAAATCCTCCCACCAGAATACATCCAACCACCAGAACTCCGCCCAACCAACCACCACAAACCACCATCTTCCACCACCCCCACAATCCCTCTCATCGACCTTTCTCTCTCCTCCCAAACTCTCCTTCCTCAATTATCCTCTGCTTGCCGTAACTGGGGTGCTTTCAATCTAATCAATCATGGCGTCCCCAATACCCTCCTTGATCAAATGCGCACTGTTGGATCATCCTTCTTTGAGGATCTAGATGTTTCTGAGAAGCTTAAGTATGGTTGTGATCAGGGTTCTGCTGCTTCTGAAGGGTATGGAAGTCGGATGCTTGTTAGTGAGAAGGATGATACTGTTTTGGATTGGAGGGATTATTTTGATCATCATACTTTTCCTCTTTCTAGGAGGGATCCTTCTCGTTGGCCCATTCATCCTCCTAATTATAGGTAATTTATGTAATTTTGTTTGATTTTGATGAAATTTATGTGATGTTTTAGTTTTTTAAAGAAATTGTGGTTTGTGAAATTAGAGATTGAAATCAGGTTTAGTGGAAAAGATCATGAAATTTAAGGTGGTTGTGTGTTACTAATGTCCTTATTGTTAATGCAAAGGCAAGTTTAGTGAGGGTGTATCTTTGCCTGAACATAATTGAAGGAAATTGTGCTAGAGACTTGTAGTTAATTCGATTTATAGTCGAAAGCCCGAGACTTTTGAATCTTTTGGTTTTGTTGGGAAGATTTGAGGGAATAACATATTTTGAGACAAACTAATTTCTCCAAGGTCTAGACTAGTCCAAATTTATAGTGTGGCAAAGAATGAAACTTCTGTGGACTATTGAATTATTGTTATGTCTACTAAAACAATGAAGTTTGTAGATAGTGAATGTAAATGTTAGCTCAAACTTTGTGTAGTATTTATTGACATATGGTGATCATTGATCAATATTGACTTGGAAATAAATGTATTTGGCCAGAAATGTGGTGGAAGAATACAGTGAACAGATGAAATTGCTTGCTCAGAAGCTCATGGCTCTGATCTCCGAAAGTCTTGGTCTACCATCTTCATGTATTGAAGATGCTGTGGGCGAGTTCTACCAGAATATTACTGTCAGCTATTACCCACCTTGCCCTCAGCCAGAGCTCACGCTAGGACTGCAGGCTCATTCTGATATGGGTGCTGTAACTTTACTTATCCAGGATGATGTTGGTGGCCTGGAAGTCTTCAAAGATGGAGAATGGGTCATTGTACAACCGTTATCTGATGCCATTGTTGTGATCCTAGCAGATCAAACCGAGGTGCCTCTCTTTCATCCTTCCTGATATGCTTCTGCACCTATTGTCCATGCACTCATTCCTTCCTCAGTTTCCCTATTCTTATGCATTTCATACCAAGTATTTTGCATCATTGGTTGCACTTGCTTAGTGGATGTTTGCTTGGTTTGTCAAATACAGCAGTATACTTGTGGAGTGTAGACATGAGCCTAATGTATTGGGATTGTTCTGTTACCTTGTACCTGGAGACTTGTAATAGGATATGAATCTATGGAGCTCTTCTGAATTCTTACTTCGTATTACATTGAGATGGGAGTTCGGGATTATGCTATTTCACTATGAGCTTCAACTGTTACACTATTGCATAGGGTTGTGGTATCATTTAATTAAGTTTAGACATGATCTAAAAACCTGCACATATGATTGCATTTATTTGCATGCACCAAATCTTTTTCAAAATTGTAGCTTTATGAGGGAATGGGTGGAGCTAATGATAGTAGAAAATTCACTAGTACAGTTGTTCTTTGCCTTCATTTCATCCCTCTTCCTCAACAATGATTATGTCAGAACAAAATGATCGAATTACTATTTTAGGCTGGCATATTCTGTCTTCTTCATGTGACTGATTTGTCAAAATAGCTCTAATGTCTGGTTTATACCGTATGATATGGTTCTTGTAGGTCATTACTAATGGAGAGTACAAGAGTTCTGTACATCGAGCAGTGACCAATTCAAATAGAGCACGGTTGTCAGTGGCCACCTTTCATGACCCTGCCAAAACAAGAAGAATATCCCCCGCTCCAGAGCTTGTGGCAAAGTCTGGACCTCGGTACAAGGAAGTTCTGTATGGAGATTTTGTTAAATCATGGTACACCAAAGGCCCTGAAGGCAAACGGAACCTTGATGCACTTTTACTGTAATATTCTCATTACAATGTTTATTGTTTGTAAAACTTTAGATAGCCTTGAAAATTCTCATTAAATTGTAGGAATTATTTACACTAAATGCTCATTTTCGTGTATATTGACAAGATTCTTAGGAAATGAAGAATTTGCACCGCTGACTCTGAACATCAAAATGAACGTCACCACTTGAGTTATTTTTTTATTTTTGGTAGGCATTCATGTTATAAAATTCATTTTTCTTTCATGCCTGAATGACTTCAAATACTCAAAAATAGTGTTACCAAAAACTTCTTCCTGGATTCCATTCAATATACGTAGTATATCACAATCTGATGCTAACAAAATACTATCCATCTAATATATACACAGTGAAACAAAAGTTGCCGCTGCACGTTTGGTTATACCATTGAACAACACAAAATGTACCCACAACCTAGCCAGTAAAAGATCAAGGACTAGAACAACAATCAGATGGGTTTAACAAAAGATTAATTAATGGCCTTGACAGCTTCTCAGGTGTCGGAAGGTGGCCTCTCAAGAAACTTCTTACCAAGGAGCGAAGGCGGTAGAAAACTCTGTGGTGCTGTAGGATTCTCAGGGGTATAAATGTATCCTTTACCATATCCAAGGTCTCCCATTAACTTCGTTGGTGCATTCCTGAGATGCAAGGGCACCCCTTCGTTCCCCCCAATCGATTCCTTCACCACCCTCATTGCCTCATTTATCGCCTTGTAAGTAGCCACTGACTTTGGAACCAATGCTAAATAAGCAACACATTGTGCAAGATTCAACCTGCACTCAGGCATCCCAATAATATGACAAGCCTGATGGCAAGCCACGGCTTGCAAGAGTGCATTAGGGTCAGCCAATCCAACATCCTCACTCGCAAACACAACCAACCTTCTAGCAATGTAGAGTGGTTGTTCTCCTCCTTCCAACATCCTAGCAAGCCAATATATAGCTGCATTTGCATCACTCCCTCTCATAGACTTAATCAACGCGCTAATCAAGTTATAATGCTCCTCCCCTGCCTTATCATAAGCAAGATGTTTACACTGCATAATTTCCTTCACATCCTCCACATTAACAACCATCACATCATCCAAATCACAACTCCTACCCTCACTTTCCACTGAAGATTGACCTTTCCCCGGAACACGGCCCAATGCCGTGGTAGCACAAACTTCAAGTGCATTCAAAGCCACTCTAGCATCCCCATCAGACTGTGAACCCAAAAGCTCAATTGCCTCGTGTTCAACCTCAACCTTCCTCCCAACACTCAATGACAACCCTTTTTCCAAATCACCAACAGCCCTTTTCAACAACTTCTCAATTTCACAACATTGCAATTGATTAAGAGTAAGTACCCTACACCTAGACAACAAAGGGGTAACCAAATGAAAAGAAGGGTTCTCAGTAGTAGCCCCAATAAACACAATACTTCCATCCTCAATCACAGGCAAAAATGAATCCTGTTGAGACTTATTAAACCTATGAACTTCATCAACAAAAAGAACAGTCCTTTTTCCACCACCAATTTTATCCCTCAATCTCCTAGCACCCTCACCCTCAACAGCCTCCCTAACATCCTTAACACCAGCAGACACCGCAGAAAGCGAAACAAACTTATAAGAGCAAGAACAGGAATTAACAAGAGCCTTAGCAATGGAGGTCTTCCCAGTACCAGGAGGACCCCATAACACAATAGAGGGCAAACGATTACACTTAACAGCTGAACTAAGGAACGAATTGGGTCCTAGAATATGGTCTTGGCCTACAATTTCATCAACAAATCGTGGGCGCATTCGCTCCGATAAGGGTTCAGAAGGTTTAGCGTCAATTGGGGTTGAAGAAGAAGAGGTAACAGAGAGTTTGGGGCGTTTTTGAGAGGGGGAAATTTGTGGGGTTTCTGGGGTTTGAGTACAAGGGGGTTTGGAGGAGTTTGAAAGGAAGAATTTGTTCAATTTTAGCTGGGATTGTTGCTGGGGTTGCGAAATCGATTGCGAAGGTGGGGCTTTAAGGCGAGATTGAGGTTGAGAGAGAAGCCATTCGGTGGCTTTGACGGTGGAATCGCCGCCGGTTGCGGCAAGAGCTTGGGCGGCGAGTTCTTCGGAAAACCCCATGTTAAGGAGATTTTCCATCTTACTATTGTCTGCCATTTTTACTTTGTTTTTCTCTCTCCTTTGTTGTGATTGTGGATTTTGGGGGTTTTGGGGAATTCTGCGCGCCAATTTTTTTTTTTTTGTTGGCCTTTTTGTTTTGGTTTATTTTGTTGGTGAGCTAAAGAGCTGACAGTTCGAGTCAACAAGTCTAGGTGTGATTTGATTTCAGATCGTACTCAATATATATGATAAGTGAGATGAATTAGGTCGAGTTTGAGTTATTCTGATCTCCCTCACCAACTTTGAATCCGGCTTTAAGTACGGATGTCGATTGGATAATGGACATGTACGTGATAATAATGAGTTGTACACAGGAGAAAACGTGTTTTTTATTTTAAATTGGTGAAGAAAATTATCAATTAATTCATGTCGATTATATGTGCAATTGAGCAAATGACTCAACTCTAGTTGGGTAGCCATTTCAGTTATTCGGAGTAGGTGCAAATGAGTTTTACACAGCTTGGAAAAATGAATATACATGTTTCTTATGTAGTTAAAAAACTATGAACAAAAAAATTTGAAGATGCTCCCCAGTAGTACAATTATATATTTGAATTGTGGGTAAGTAAGAAGATGAGTACATGACTAACATGCTCGAACCTTTACGACATATCTACAAATTTTATTCTCCCATTTTACAAAATTTGAGCATGTTAGATACTACAAATAAAATCAATACAAGTAATTAACTATAATGTCGAACATCTTCCTCTAAAACAAGGGAAATCCTAACATCGAAATTTTACAAGGGCTTTGTCTATTCAAGTTGAACTAGCTACTAAGTTGTCATCCTTAACAAATTCCGTGCAAGAGTCGAGCAGATTCTGGAAAATGAGGTTTGGTGTCTCGCTCTTGGTGAGAAAGTTGTTCACCTCAGATATCAAGTGCTCAAGAGCTTCTTTCTTGAAACAATGTGCATTTTCCTCGAATAACTTTAACCATGCCTCCTTTGAGAATGACTGCTGATGACTAGAAGGATGGCAAGCAACGCTTGAAACTGCTTCGACTAGATTGTCATTCTCCATTTTTAATCTAAACCTTTCTTTAATGAGTTTTGGTGGCGGGATATGATCAGCTTGCACCAAGTGCCTCCATGTTGCTTCAACTGTTTCAACCTAAGGAATCCACAATTTGTGAAGTTAATTTGAAAGTCAAGTAGAAGAATTTATTGAGAAAGAGAGATGTGGGCTACAGATATACCTTTCCAGAAGCAGAAGCTTTTAAGACCATCCAAAGATGCCGCTTGGTATTGAAAGGATGTCGATGCAGCAGCATCTGCTCATATGCATACTCGAAATCATCCCATCTTTCCTCTCGGATACAAGCTTCTAGCATTGTATTAAATGTACTGACATCAGGAACAATCCCGCTCCTGATTTTTCTGCTTTCCTTTCCACTTTGTATCATTTTTTGAAAGATCTCTTTAGCCTCATCAAACATCCCATATCCAAGATATGCTTTAAGCATAATGTTACAAGTTGCAGTATTTGGGGAACAATACTTTTGCATATAATTGAAGATGTATGTCGCATCATGAATATTTTTACTGGATAAACAGGCTTGGATTAAACCAGTAAAAGTCACCACCAGAGGTTTACTAGCAACTTTACATATCTTGTCGACCTGTGATGTGTCACAAAACTTGCATGATTATTTTTGCTATCAGGGAGTCAATATAGCATAGGAGGTAGACAGTGTCTAACATCTCTGTGCTGCACAAACTTGCATTATTTTTTTTGGCTATCAGGGGCTTAGTATATCATAGGAGTCAATATGTATGTATATGACTATATTCCTAAATCAGTACCATTATGAGAATATGTTTAGTACTTAAAAAAAATTCAACCTCTTAATGCAGAATGGAGTATAGTAGAAACGAATGTGGGATGAAATATACGATGTAAACTATTACATACTTGCATCAAAGCTTCTTCACACCTTCCCACACTACAGAGACAACGGGCGAGGTCATAATAAAGACTGGCTGGACCTACTCGTCCCTGATATTCCATGTCTTGAACAACTGCAATAGCCTCATCTGGTTTACCTTCTTTCCAAAGAGTATTAACAAGAACTGCAAAGTGATAACTAAATAAGTCATAAGGTAAAAATCCAAGAAATACTATAAAATAGATGGTAGGCTATACCTCTATATGTTAAAGCACTAGGGACAGTAAATCGTTGCACTTCCTTAAAGTACTCATAGACCAAGTCGTACTTTCCACATGCTAACATAACCTGGTTCAAGGTTACAGTAATCAGCTATGTTATCAATCTGAAGACATCAAAATATTGCAGGTATATCTGTGTGCTCAACAAAGACAAATGGGAGCACATGCATGTATGGGAATAATTGCAACCTCCTTGTCATGTTTGACATGGAAAATCAGTTAACACATTTTTTTTAAGAAAAAAGACCTAAATTGATTTACTGCCTCCACGATAACAACAAAAAGAGAAGATCCCAAGCCATATGCTATTGAAACAACTATACTAGCCAAGAAAGAAAGAAAGAAAGAATTGAACTCACAGAATATTTGCACAATAGTTTAAGATGATTTCATGAGGTAAAATGGGGCAAAGATATTTTACCTCCATAGCAAGTCCGTATGTTGTGCTTGTTGGCTTTTGACCAATTTCTTCCAATTTCTGCAAAACCCATACCGCTCCTTCCCATTGTTTGCTCTTAACACAACCGTTCAAAACCTGGTATTTAAATTCAAACCAAAGCAATTTAAGCTAACTTCATCTCCTTTTCATATCATGCTGTCATCAAAACTCTCTTTCTTTGCCACACACCCCCTTTAATTGACAAATTACAACTCATCACTAATCTTCTTGTTTTAACAACCAACATTTCAACATATATATCTTAGATGCCAATTTTGATGAGGATGGTCTACTACAAGTAGAACAAGAGAAACAAATAATTTCTACTCTTAGCTAGTGTACTTACAGCATGGTAAATAACAATGTCGGGCTCAAGCCGTGGATCCCAATCATCATTATCTTCAATCTTGAAGTTCTTTGGCATAGATCTCATGCTGTCAATTACTTCAAAAAGTTCCTTCATATGACCAACTTGCCCAAGAGTAACAGCAATTGAGCGATAAGTCACAATGTCAGGATAAGTAGTCTTGTGTCGCTGCAGTAAAATACAAGTGTCAGTCAATATTTACCCTATACTGAAGAAATTATTTTAAACTACAATCCAATATCACAACTTTGGGGGTGGAGGGGCGGGTACACTGGGAGCTTAATCATAAAAAAATAATTACCTGCATCGTGCAAAACAGATTTAGTGCTTCCACAGGTCGTCTTGCTTTCCCAAGCACACCCAGTGCAGCTGTGTAGACATATCTAAAATTAAAAGCATGATTTAACAGAAGTAAATTTCGGTATCAGATATATGTTGTGCATATGACAAATCTGACATTAGCCACAGTAATCTGCAAAGTGCAAACTAATGCAGAATGCCTGTGCTTGTACAAAGAGACACCAAGGCCCAAAAAAAACATATGTTTGAAACTGATATCAACAAGTCATCTTGTAAAGAAACTAGAGAAGGGAAGTAACAGAAACAATAACCAAACAAAACAAGGAAAACTAATAGATGCTTTACCACTGTTAATTTCCTCTCACAAAGAATGGGAACATTTAGAACAGTTTTTTCAATTTCATTTTTAATGACCCCTACTCGCCGCTATGGCTATCAACTATAATTGAATTGCAGCATATTCAAAGAAGCTCTTCCATCATGTATTCTAAAAGAAAGAGGAGATTAAAGGCCCTTTCTCATGATCACATTCAAGAGAGAAGCTTAAATCGAAAATAATTCATGATGGACCTAAGGGCCAAAATATAATTAGATTTCCTAGCCTTTTTTGGGAAAAGAAAAGGGGTAAAACAGGGATTTTTTTTACAAATTCCAAAATCTTATTGGCATCTTGCTTAACCGTTACTCTTTAAATAATGGAGACTTGGTGAGAAACAAACCTGATATTATTGGAGTTGTAGCGCTCTTGCATTTGAAGCCAATCAATTAATTGCAGCACCCTTCGCCAATTTCCATATTTACCCAATATCTGAATAACCTTAAACATAGAATGATCAGAATATCTAATTCTAGCACTTCTCATCGTCTTAGCAAACATCCACTCTGGCATGTCCGTATTAGCATCATTTAAACTGGTAGGAAAACAAAATATGTTATCAACTATTTCTAGATAAAGCACATATAGAGGTAATAACATAAGCAAAAAATACAACACAACCCACTACTCACAAAAACTAACTACATAGAGCATTTGGCCAATCATGCCAGATGCTAACTACTAAGGGGCATGAAATTTGAAGTTCAATGCAGTATATGATATCCCAAACTTTCCTTATATTTTCCTTTCACTCCCCATGCTCTCCGAGACTCCGAGTTTCTCCTCTTTGGATGGGGGACAAGAAGAGTGCCCACATATTCACATAAATGGAGGAACCCCTAGATATGATTGCCAGAGAAAGCATATGACTTGCATGTTGTTACCCCCCCCCCCCCAACCTACCCCACCCACACTAGAGATGACATATCTACTAATATATCTTCACATCACATGCAAAGGTCCAGGGTTTGGTTGGGGAAAGGAGAATGTAATTTTATAGATTTGTACAACTTTGACAACAAGAGATGTAAAGTATTCCCCAAATCATAGGAAGGGCTAAGTTAAAATTGCATTTTGAGATCATTCAAGCACCTAGACTAGCACAAAAAATCTAGCATACGCATAAAAGAATATTTATATGCCAGTGTGCTGAAGTTCAAATACCAACCATATAGCAAGATTCTCTATCCTTTCATCCATTATCATCTTTGAAACTCGCGGCCCATCCAGATCACTATTTAGCAACTCAGGCTGTTGGAAGATAAAACTTTCCATTCCCAAATCATCATCAACACTCGTCTCGTTCACTGGCATGCTCTTCTCTTTAATGAACTTAGTCCTTGTAGAAGCAGTGGTGTCCACATCAAGTTTCTTGCTTAAACCAGTTTTTGGTCCTACATAGCTCAACTCTTTCTGTGGTCCTACACTGCTTCTTGCTTGAACACTTTTACCCACCTCTTTCTTTTCAGAAACTCCTTCAAACCTTTTAAAGGATTTACCTCCTTCCTTAGGATCCGACCTATTAATCCACTTTTTTAGAACAGTCTCGCCCTGTTTCTGATGCTGTGGAACATCTTTACTGAATGCCACATTGCTTCTTGCTTGAACCTTACTGCCCACCTCTTTCTTTTTACTAACTCCTTCATAACTTTCAGAGAATTTATCTTCTTCCTTAGAATCCGACCTTTTAAGCCATGTTTTTTGAAAAGTCTCACCCCGTTTTTGAAGCTGCGGAACATCTTTACTGAATGACACGTTGCTTCTTGCTTGAACCTTACCACCCACCTCTTTCTTTTTAGCAACTCCTTCAATACTTTCAGAGCATTTATCTCCTTCCTTAGAATCCGACCTTTTAAGCCATGTTTTTTGAACCGTCTCTCCCCGTTTCTGAAGCTGTGGAACATCTTTACTAAATTCAACATTCCTTCTTGCTTGAACCCTACCACCCACCTCTTTCTTTTCAACACCTCCTTCAAACTTTTCAGGGAATTTATCTCCTTCCATAGAAACTGACCTTCTAAGCCACGTTTCTTGAATAGTCTCACCCCGTTTTCGTTGCTGTGGGACATCTTTACTGAATGCAACATTGCTTCTTGCTTGAACCCTACCACCCACCTTTTTCTTTACAGCAACTCCTTTAAACCTTTCAGAGCGTCTATCTCCTTCCTTAGAATCCGACTTTCTAAGCCACGTTTCTTGAACAGTGTCACCCCGTTTACGGTGCTGTAGAACATCTTTACTGAATGCAACATCAGTCTGCTTCTTTCCAGGGGCACTCCCTCCCTTAACTTTCTTCTTCTCTCTATCAGTCCTAATAGACTCCATCGCCTTTGAATACTTGTCAAATGAAGACTTAAATTTAGTGTCTTCTTCCACAATATTGTCTCTCTCTATCTGTGAAGCTGAGAGAGCATTATTAACATAATTTCGTCGCCTCGATACTAAAACCAATTTTTGCTCATTCTTTCTTCTCACATTAGAAACAACTCCAATAGCAGGTGTCTGAAATTTATAAATGACAATAATATACATAAATATACTGTATTAATGCCAATAACAAAATGAATTGACATGAAAATTGCAACACAGATAAAGATTACACACAAAAAAATTGCCCAATTAACATAAATTTCGATATTACTCCTTAGTAATCTTTACTATAAATCAAATTATTTTACATATTATACCCATATTTTAGACAATCAACATCTCAATTGCTCAACAGACAAATCATTCATACAATTTGTAGTTCTGTACTGTGAATTTTTAATTTTAGCAGGTAATTGTATACAATAAATTTACTCATAGTTTCAAATTATACTGCCAAAAAAATGAAATTTAATACATCAAATAATTCCAAAAAAAAAGCAATAAAAATTTATCAAAATATTGAATAAATGCCTGAAGCATGAACCCCATTGGCAATGAAATGCAACCCATTGAATTTACTGGCATTGCAGCCGCTTCTCTAAGCTCACCTGAAAGCGCAACCCCAAAAAATAAATAAAAGAAAATATAATAAACCCACCAAAATTTAATTAAATTGGCAACATCCCTCTTTGTAATTATCAGAGTTTGAATGTAATTTGAACAACAGAGAATAAAAATTGAACCTTGAAATGAAATAGTTGAAAGGTCTTACCCAAATTAAGCAAGAAGATAGAATTTTGCTGAAGGATGTACATGACACACTCAAATACTCAATTCATACAAGAAATGGGAAGATTGATGGCATGGTAGATACTCCGCAGTAGAAAGTTAAAATTCATATCTCAGAGAAGTGAGGGAAGGATAGATGTTGAAGAAGGTTGAAAGAGGATAGTTTGCCTAAACAACCTTTGATAAAATGACAGGATTTAAAAAATAAAAAAATAAAATAAAAAATTAAATTATGGTAAAATCTTTTTTATTCATTCATTTCAAAGTAGTACTCCATAACCAAAACCTTTATATGGAGTATTTGGTTAATGTTATAAGGAATTAAGGATTACTCCGTTTTTTACAAGTGTCTACTCCGTATATAATTTGACTAGTTATACAGAAAAAACGTTGTAAAAATAAATGTTTTACGGAAATTGGGAGGGGAATTCTAACCATTTGAGGTATCTTCACTCCCATTGCATTATTTTTGTTGTAATTAGAGAGCATGAGTCCACTCTCAAACACTCAAATTGTCACTAATGAAATAACGAGGATAAACCCTCAACCTTATTTTGAAAGATTATTTTCCGTGAATTTAATTGAGTGTATTTGACTATATGTATTCATTATTAAGGGCTTGTTTGGCATCATTTTTGGTTTTCAATTTCTTATTTATTTGAAAACCAAAAACAGGAAACAAGAAAAAGGTGTTTCCACTTTTCAGTTGTCAGTTTTTAAAATTATCATGATTTTAATAAGTTTAAATATTTTTTGATTCATTATAGGGATTATATCATATACTTTTAAAAAATCAAAAAACAGAAAACCACAACAATGTCAAACGAACCCTAAGGTATAAAGTTTCATTTCTCTTTTTTTTTTTTTTTTTGAAATATACAGTTTCATTTCTCTAAACAAATGCAATCCTTTTTTTTTTGTTTTTGCGATACTAAATAAACAAACAAAGCATTATGATCTCATTGATTCTTGGTGTATGTTTAATATTTCAAAATAACAATTGAAAGAAAACGAGAATTAAACCGACAAAAATTAAGCCCCAAATCCAAATTAGTCCAAAGGGTGAATCGGGTCATCAAACTTCTAAAACCCACTCACTAATCACTAGACTCACTCACTAGTCACTTCACCTAAACCCAAATCAAATGACAATCTCCAGCACCATTTACCGCCGCATAACCAATGCTCGAACCTTCTTCACCTTCAAATCCTTCACCACTCCAAAACCCACCACCACCCCAACCACCACCAAGAAACCTCCTCTTCTCTACAAACCCACCAACCCCTCAAACGACGCCGTTTCCCTGCAACTCCTCTCATGGGGTCGAGGTTCATCAGGTCAACTCGGCAGTGGAACCGAGCAAACTCGCATTTACCCAACCCCAGTTGCTTCCCTCATTGTCCCTCCTTCGTTTCGTCTCCCTCTATCTCCTGGGTCTCTCTCTCCTCCATTGCCGGAAAAATCGGGGGTTGAGGTCGGAATTTCATGTGGGTTGTTTCATTCTGCGGTGTTGATTGATGGGCAGTTCTGGGTTTGGGGTAAAGGTGATGGTGGTAGATTAGGGTTAGGTCATGAAGATTCTGTGTTTGTTCCTACTTTGAATCCTCATTTGAGTGGTGTTAAGGGTTTGGCTCTTGGTGGGCTTCACTCTGTTGCTCTCACTTCTCTTGGACAAATCTTTACTTGGTCAGTTTTCTTTCTTTCTATCTTGATTGTTGTTTGTTATGTGGTTAGTTTTGGTAGTTTCCGTCTCTGAAAGTTCTTGGAATTGTTGTTGTTAGAGAATTGAGAGTAATTGGAACTGTTGTTGTTACTTGTATCATGATTAGCTAACTAGTGAAGTTTGTGTTGGATTTATATAATGGTTTATTGAGTTGATTAGTTTGATGAAATTCTATATGGAGAGTGGACAAAAGATAATTGCATGAAGCCATGAAGTATTAGTTTTAGTGTAGGATTATGGGGTGAAGATTATAATTCATGATGTTGGATGTTTGTGTGATGGTTACCAGGGAAATGTTCAGTTGATCATGAGATTAACATGCAAAAATAAATCAAGATTGTGCGATTGTGTTGGCTAACAGTTCTAGGAAAAAAGAGAATTTTAGTTATGTCAACAGTTTTTTCAATTATATATTCAGTTCTATTACAAAATGTTCACTTGATTTGCATAAATTGTACATCTTTGAGATCATCTGGATGGATCAATTGGTGCCAGTTCTCCACGCATCAATAGATGTTGTAGTTCAGACAACTTTAGAGTTTAGAGGACTTTTTTTTTTCCAAATATGAGATCAATTATAGGAGAGTTCTTCAACAAAATGAATATAGTTTGTTTTACTTCTCTAGTAGGCTCTTGAGTTCATTAGTTCTACCTAAGTTGGGCCCGGTGTATGGGATTGGTTGGGTACTTGGGTTAAATGTTTGCCATTTTAATCATGCAATAATAGTGAGGTTTGTTTACAAATTCCAATCGATGTTGATCTGAAATGCACCATAATTTGCTACTTCACACTAAGAATTGCATGTAGTTACTGATAAGTTTTATTTGGTCCACTGTAATATGAAGCCAAATTATACTCTTTTGCTTTGTTGAATTGTTGGATATGACTTCATCAAGTCCTAGGTGGGTTAAAAGGCCTAAATCATCACTAGACAAAGGGAGTGTGTTTCATAGATTAATTGGTTTTGATTCTACAAACTCTGATGAGTTTGTTTTAATTTCTGCAAAGCTTGATGGTTTTACCTTTGAATAATGAAGTTTGCAGGGGCTATGGTGGTTTTGGTGCTCTTGGTCATTCCGTTTTCACAAGGGAATTGATTCCTAAGCTAGTTGAAGGTCCTTGGACAGAAAAAATTAAACATATATCGACTAGTGGAACACATACTGCTGCTGTCTCTGAATCAGGTGTGTTGATTGCTTGCAGAAAATTTACCTTGTGTTGCTCTATTGGGGCTATGCTGTATTTTCTCCTTTTCTATGTATGTGTTCTGTCTTCTCATTATTTATTATTTATTTTGTTTGTTTGAGTTTTGTGGAGTGTTATATGAGGTTGTATTTTGCATGATACCTTGTCCACAAGATCTTATTTAAGGTATTGCAATAGATTCTCCTTTCTTGATTTGATAACTTTAATTTGACATGTGACCCATTTGATATTTTCAAGGTTTGCCACTTGTACGTAAAAACAGCGATGCACTTTATTTGTCTATCTTGATAATTCTCTTTAGATAGTGAATAATCTGAATTTGCTTTTCTTTGCTTCTAGCTGCAAAGAGGGCATGGTTGTGATTTAGTTTTTACGTGCTCTCTTGATGTTCATTCTTCATTACAGGTGAGATATACACTTGGGGTCGAGAAGAAGGAGACGGTAGATTAGGTCGCGGTCCTGGACGTGGCCCTGACCAAACAGGTGGGCTTAGCGTCCCAGGCAAAGTAAAAGGAATGCCGGTTCCTGCTGCTGCTGTGGCGTGTGGGGGTTTTTTCACAATGGCACTGACAGAAGAAGGGAAACTTTGGTGTTGGGGAGGTAATTTCTTTTTTCTCATCTAGATGACTTCAGGCTATTGTTATTTACATATTCTGTTATATAGAGTTGTATGACTTCTGATGAAAGTTACATGACATTATCTTGGACTCAGATTACTCTTTATTATGATCTAGTTTTAATGATTCACTACACATCCACAATTTTTTTCTATTGATAGCTATTCTATTATAGATTTCCCATCAAAGTGAAAGCATTGTCCATTCTTGATTTCATTATCTGCTCGCTCACCATTGGATTTGCTACAATGGACATAGATACATCTGTTAATTGGTTAAGGATACTTTAATATGCCTGCTTTGTATTCCACTGTCTTTCCTGTTCTTGAAGTGTTCAATTTGCTAGTTTGCTGTCCTGTCCATTCAACTGGCTTGTATTGATGTTCTCCATCTTACTGGGTTTATAATGTGAAGTACTCAGTAGTATTACATGCTTTTTTCATGAAAATTAGTCCAATCTCTACGTAGTCGAATATTAAAGTTCTTTTTATATTTAAAAAGGGAACAATATAGAATACTCCGTATAAGTTTGGTATGTGACATTTGTTTTCTCTTTTAGGGCGAAAGGAAAAAGAAGAAACCTAAATGATTTTCAGATATTCTAGCTGTTGCAAATTACTGAATGCTCACTGTTTGTACTCATTGATATAATTTATGTACAATCCTAATGTGCTCAGAACTTATGATCCTGCTGCTAGCCTGCCACTATACGTCATATCGTTAGATTACATGTTTTTGTTTTGTTCTGGCAGCCAATTTCAACTATGAGCTTGGAACAGGTGATAAAGTGGGTAGTTGGAAACCAAGACTTAATTCTAGCCTTGAAGACATGCGTGTAGTTCAAATAGCTTGTGGTGGATATCATTCTCTTGCTCTGACTGGTTAGTTCAAGAATCTTACGCTGCTATAATGTCGCTCTAATTTTTCTCTTTTTGTTTTCTAAATATTGTTTTATAGTATCTAAATACATGTAGTATTTGATCCCAGAGGGTGGTAAGGTGCTTTCATGGGGACACGGTGGACACGGTCAGCTGGGTCATGCTTCTATCCAAAATCAGAAGGTGCCTACAATGATCGAGGCTCTGGCTGACGAGTGTGTTATCTCAATTGCCTGTGGAGGCTCGGCTTCAGCAGCTGTAACAGGTAATAACTTGCATACGCTTCCTTTTTATATTATCAGGGGTCAAGGACTAAGGGAGATAAGTGGGGGGTTATAACTTGCAAAAGAGTGGGCCTGAGCTGAATACTTTGTACAATTAAATTTTGTTGTTGTGCTTATACTGCTTAAGACGGTTGCATTTTTCCTTGGCTCCTTGCTGACAAGCATTTCAAAGTAACTAAAATAACTCTCAAACCCTTTTGCCCCTCTGTTTTAACTCGATATTGGAGAGGTGGAACTCCTCATTCCTCTGATACTTGCTTTTGTCCAGAAATAATAAGCAAATTTAACACTTTGGGAAGTTAGGTTTAACTTTTAAGTTCTTTAAGAATTGTTATCTTTGATGGGGAGATCCTGGAAATGTCCCAATCAGGAATTGATCAGCGAGTCAATGTGACTTTATATTTATATGTGCTTGGTGGATTTAATTTTAGTTTTTCAAGGGAAGGTGGGTTGTGTATTTGGAGACTCCAGTTTTGAGTCATCTGTTTGCGCTTTATAATTTTTTTTAATGTTCAGCTATAGAGGCCAGAGAAAGACGCCCATTCGCTTTCATGTTTTCTGCTTCGGTGATACTGAAACTGACATTGATGTTTTCAAACAGCGACAGGGAAGCTGTTCATGTGGGGAAACGCAAAGGATTCT